GCCGGCCTGCCCCTCCAGGAGCCCGCCGCCCGCGCCCCGCCCGTCGAGGACCGGGGAGGCGTGAGGGCTCGGGCCTCGGGCGACGCCTGTGCGGCCTGCCTCGGGCGCACGCCAACACGAAGGGGCCCCAGGACGCACAAATAAGTACACACAAATAAAAAGATTCCCCATATTTTCCCATATTTTCTGGTTCTTTGTCTTTCCCACCACTTCCCATATTTTCCCATATTTTCCAAGAAATCGAAGATTAATTGTGTCTGTGTGTTTCTTTCCCTCCTGACAACACTCGGCAGCGAGCGGGGGAGGAAGTGAGGAAAAAAAGGAGGCCTCCTCAAAGGCGGCGGGGGCTCCTCAGGAGGCCTCGGGCCTTCTGAAGCGTTGTCTGTGCCTTCGGGGAAGGCTTCGAAAACTTCTCGGAAGGCAGGGGGTACTTCAAGCCTTCCCAGAAGGCCCCGCCCCTTCTCACTTCCTCCCCTCGCTCGCCGCCGAAACGTGGGTCGGGGAAGGTACCCCCGACACATGAGGCCAGAGCCGCCTCCTTTGGCGACAGCCCGCGCCGATTTCGCGTGGAAGCGGGACCCGTCGCTCATCCACGCGCCCGAATCCATGTTGGCGCTCCCTCGACTGACAGGGGCCGTCGGGAAGACGACGAGTCCCGGCCCAGAACTCGGCGCGACCTCCAGCTGCAGCCACCTCACGAGAGCTGGGCCGTCGGAGTCCAGGTCGGTCGGAGGCGACGAAAGGGGGCGAGTATAGCCCGGGGGCGGGCACCAGCTACACGCATCCCTCCGGGAGCCTCGCCGAAGACACGGACCATCGGCGCCCGTGGATGCACGTATATTGCTCCCCCCTGGGCTGCTCGCCCCTGTCGTCGCCTCCGAGACACCCAGATCCGAACTTCGGCGCGACCTCCCGCTGCAACCATATCCCACGAAAACCGGACCGTCAAGGCCCGGGACGGGCTCCTCGGCTACACGCAGGAGCGACCTTCGGCAATTAAGGGGAAAACAAACCTACCTCGCTTCTGACCACCCTCGCTTCCAAGAGATACCAAACGATGCCAAATTGCAGCCTGTACTGGTCAGGCCGCTGGACGAGGGGGCGCGTGGTATGGCTTGGTTTTGCCTGGAAGCGAAAGCGGGGTAGGTAATTCACGCTCTGAGCAATAGTGCCCTTCGGTGCGCGGCCTCAGGAGAACGCGGGCCGGCCCAGCCCGAGCGCGCCGGCCAGCGCTGGGGAGCCCCTGGGCCCGTGTGGGCCCGCAGCAGAGGTCACTCCCGCAAAGGGCCCCTCCTCCTGTTCTTCTCCTCCTCCTCCTCCTCCTCCTCCTCCTCCTCCTCCTCCTCCTCCTCCAGAAAGCGTCGGCAAGCCGCTTAGCCCGAGCCTCTGGCGAGCTCGAGCCTGCCCCCACCCCTCTCCTGCTCGCCGGAGCCAGTGCTAGGCCACCTCTGACCCCCCGCCGGCTCCGAGCTGCAACCGTCCCACGGAATCTGGACCGCCCAAACCCAGGACGGGCTCGTCAGAAAGCGCCGGCGAGCCCGGGCTCCGGTGAGCTTCTGCGGCAACTCATGGGAGCCTCCCACACCGTCCTGTTGGCTAATTCGAACCGACGCCACTCGATGCTAATCCACGACAAATCTACGCACATCGACGTCAAATCGGCGTTATCGGATCGATTACCCGACGCTAATCAACGCCCGCGCACTCCAAAGACCAGATTCTTTCCTGGGAGGCATATTGCGTCATGTTCGCTGTCTTGGTGGCCTGCCTGGGCCGTCCTGGAAGCCATCTCAGGCATCGTGGACGCCTAGGAAAGCGCAAGGGTTCCTCCCATGTCTTCGTCGCCCACGGCATGGATTATGGGACCCACGGCATGAATTATGAATTTGCTTCCGAACGAGCTCGAGCCCAACGGCTCCCCGAGAGGAGCCCGCCGCCCGCGCCCGCGCTGCCGCCAACCCGCGCGGCGGGCAGCAGCGCGGCGGCGAGAGCAGCGGCGGCGGGCGCGCGGGGCATCGCCGAAGGCGCCGCCGAAGGCGCCGCGGCGCGGCGGCCGCGGGTCGGAGGCTGCGAGAGGGGCGAACAGCCCAGGGGGGAGCAATCCACTGTGCGCGCGGGCAGAAGTGCTCGACGCCGGCGCTGCTCGCGGGGGCGAGCACGCGGGGAGCACGAGGGCCTCGGGGCCCCTCCGAGGCCACAGGGGGGCCCCAGGTCTGGCCGAAATCGACTCGTTCCCTGGAACGCCGACCGCGGCATCTACAAATCGATTCCAATCCACTGAAACTTCGGCCGGCGCCCACGTGCGGCAGGTTCGGGGACCCTGAACCCAAAACCTCGCCATCCCTCGGGAAGCCGATCTGTACTTCCGCCGGCCTCCGCCGGCCTTTCGTGGGCTTCCGCCAGCAGATCCGCCCTCGCTTCACCTCCCCAGCTCCCGCAGACCTCCCGCTGCCTCCCGCCGAGGAAGAGATGGCAACTCCCCCGACCCTCGAAGGCGAGGCCCTGTCTAAAACGCCCCTGTGTATCTGCCTCCCGGAGGGATACCAGGAGGAGGAGGAGGAGGAGGAGGAGGCGGCGGAGGAGGAGGACGTTTATTGCCCGCCCCTGGGCTATTCCGCCCCATGTCGTCGCCTCCGAGCGGGCCGCCCGACGCGGGCGCGCACGGGCAGCGTCCTGAGCAGCACTCGGAGGCACGCCCAGGGGGGGCTCGAGAAGGCTCACGCAGTTGACGATGGACAACCTCCCTTTAGTAAATCTCCCTGTAATGAAAACGGCCTGGGACCGAAGCCGACGGACCCGGACCCGCAGAACGCAGAAATGACGGCCGCTACGCCCTCTCGCGAGCCGAAAGCAGCCAATTCGCTAATCGACGTATCCGGGTAGGAGGTCTGTCCACCCCCGACGCAGTCGACGATGGACCCCGTGCTGCCCACTGGCCCAGGGCAGGGCGGTCTTCCGCGGTCTTCTGGCGGTTTTCGGTGGTCTTCGGGGGTCTTCTGACGGTCTTCGGCGGTTTCCGGCGGTTTCTCGCGGAGTTCGGCGCGAAAGCTGGACGGTTGCGATTCACAAGGGGTCCATGATCGGACACCTCAGAAGGCCAGTAGAGCCAAGGCCACGCACGCCAGTGGGGATAAGGATCGGTGAAGCGATGCCCAGGAAGCCGTGCACCACAGGTCACGCTCGCCCAGGGCGACCCTCGCGTGCAAAGCCGGAAGGATGAAGAGCTGGCCTCTGGGAAAGGGCCCAGAGTTGGAGCCGACTGGGGTTCTGGGGTGGCCTAATACTGGTTCCGGCCAGCAGGAAGGGGGGCGAGGTTCGAGCTTCTGGGCTCGAAGAGGCTCTGTCTTTTCTGTCTCCTGGAACCAATTTCGGGACCCCTGGAACACCAAAAACGGATCGGGGCTAAAAAAACTGCACCAGGTGGACTCCGGGGAGAGAACTGGGGACAGATTTTCAGCGGATTTACCCTTCTATCTCGGCGGCGAGCCCACGGGGGAAGTGAGAGGGGACAAGCCTTCTGACAGGCGGCGGGGCTTCCCAGAAGCCCTCCGGCCTTCTGAGAAGCCGTCTCTGCTTTCGGAGAGAAGGCTCAGAAAATGTCTCGGAAGACCCGAGGCTTTCCGAGCCCTCGGAGAAGGCCCGCCCACTCTGCATTCCCCCGCGGGCTCGCCACCAAAGAACCAGGGCGGAGGTCCTCTCACGTTCTCGCCCTTACGGTGGGTAATTGTTGCTTAGCGTGTCGCGGCGGCGTCCCTGGCGACACGCTATGCCCTGCAAGCGGATAGCGCGTCGCTCCGCTCAGCGGGACGGGAGGCTGAGAACAGCTTGGAGCGCTTGCGCTTGGGAATGGGAAAGTGGATAGCGTGCCGCGCCGAAGCGTGATGGGCCAGAACTGTCGAACCGACACGCTAAGCGAATTAAAGTGTTCGACGTTCGGTCAGGTCTTGGCGTCGCCATTGTTTCACAACGGACGGTTTTGCCTCGTTTCGGGCGCCGGGGTCCTCACAGATCGATCCTGCTCGAAGAATGGCGCAGAAAGATGGGGCCCGGTGCTCCAGCCGTGCTTTTTGCTCTGTTGCTACAACTTGTTGGCGAAGTCGGACCTCAGGGTAAAAAGTTCCTTACCAACGAAAACGAACACAATGACCCTCCCGGGGTCCCGCGGGACAGCGGGGAGAAGGCAAATCGAGCTGCACTGCCCGCTCTCCTCGCACGTGCTCGTCGCCACGTCGTTGCTGATGCCTGTTGGGGTCGCCCCTCATCTCCGCTGGAGTAGCACCAGACCTCGCTGCCACTGCCCGCTCTTCTCGCAGTTGTAGCTCTCGAGCCGCCCTCATCTCGCTGAGCGGCGACATGGCCCGACGGCAGGCCCCGGCTTCGCGACTCGGAGCTCGCCGAGCAACGGCTGCGCCCGCTGTCAAGGCACTTCCTCGCCCTCCGCCTCCTCGGCGCGCCTGGGCGCGGCGGGCGGCAGCGCCCAGGCCGGCGCCCTCGCGCAGGGCTGGGCCGGTGATCGGGAGGGCCGAGGTCTCGCGGTCTGCGCCGGCAGCCGCCCTGGCCCCCGCCTTCGCTCACCGTCGGCGGGCAGCTCCGACGGGGCGAGCGGCCCCACCCCCAGCACGGCGGCCTCCGTGTCACGCCAGCACAGTGTCCTGCGAGGCGCCGCCCGCAATGACACGCATCGCCGCGAGGACGCGCTGGCGCTGCTCGCACGTGCCGTAGATCGCTGGGCCCGCTTGCAGATCGCTCGCGCAGCTCGAGCGCTGCGGCACCTCGATCCCTGCGCTGGCATGGCGCTGGCGCAGCAGCAGGAGCAGTGCGCCGTGTTCCATGAGCCGAGGCCGCACCTGGGCCGGCGCCTCCATCCAGCAGCGCAGGCCGCGTCCGCGCGGCGCGGCGGCGCAGCGGCGGCACTGCACTTGCAGGGCTGTCCCCGCCGCGACGGCGAGGCGAGTGGGCCGGCCGCCGTGGGCCAGCCAGACGAGGCGCCCGTCGCCCAGCTCAGCCACGGCCCCATCGAGCGTCTCCGCGCTCCCCGCAACGCGCGCAAAGGACCCGGCCGCCGCACGCTCCGGAGGAGCGGCGGCAGCTCCCCTGGCGAGCGCCGCGCGCCGACCGCCTCGGCGGCTAGACCCGCCGGCGCTGCCTCAGGCGGCGCCGTCATCGTAGTCGTCGTAACTCCACTGGCCGTCGTGGCGGAAGACGAGCATCTCCGCGCGCTTCACCTGGCGGGCGTCGGGCGCGAGCGCCGCGTTGCCAGGTGCGTCGATGTAGACGCCGAGGCCCAACTCCAGTGAGATCTCGATCGCAATATTACCCTGCAGCACCGCGCGCCAAGTGTGCACGCGGGGGTCGCATTCGCACGCTCGCCGAGAAGAGTACCAGCAGAAAGACCAGTGCGGAGCTCGCCCCGGCTCCTCGGGAAAACGCTCCGGAGGCGTGGAACCGCCGCGTCGAGGACGGCAGTAAGCTCCTCAAGCAGGGCCACGGTGGTGACGCTGCCCAGGCCCCCGCTTGCCACCATGGCCTCGAAGCCCTCGTCGTCCCTACAGGACCACGCCGGGTGGACGTCCGGGCTGGGCTGTGGCGCACCGATGCCAGGTACGGGTCATTTACGATGACCGTCTCGCACTGGCACCGGCAGGCCCAGTCAGCAAAGAGCTGGAGCAGCCCCCAGCCGCGAGAGCCCTGCGGCAGCGCCCGCGCCTCCAGCAGCGACGGTCCTGCAGACGTTGGCTGGGTGGCCGGGAGATGATGCGTGAAGCGACAGCGGCCGAGGGCAAGCCAGGGGCAGCCGTCGCCGTACCTGAAGCAGGGCGCGGCCTGCGGCGCAAGCAGCGGGCCGCCCTGCCTGGAGCGATTCCTGTCGTCCGCGGTGCACCCGGAGCGTCCAGGGCCAGCGGCCGACGGGCAGCGACGAGGTGCGCGTCATCAACGAGGTCGCGCGTGAGAAACTCGCCCTCCCTCTGCGCCTCTGGTGTGGCCTCCTGCCCGTCGTCCTCCTCCCTCCCTCCTCGCCCCGCGCATCCCTCGTCTCTCAGGGAATTCGCTTCCGTCGTACTGTCTCCGAGCTCGGCCCTGGGCACGTCCCCGAGCACGATAGCGGCGCCAGCAGTAGTGTTCCCAGGAGGGCGGTGGTCGACTGCTGCTGTTGCCGCCGCTGCTGCTGCTGCGGCAAGGCCATCAGCACCACGATCCGCAGGCGCAGCGTGAGGATGTGCATGGCGCTGCCGCCTCTGAACGCACCTCCGCCAAGCGGCTTGCAGAAACAGGACCACGGCCGCGTCGCAGCCCGCGAAGTCCCCCGGCATGCCAAGAGACAGCGGCGCCTGCAGCTCGGCGCCGTCCTGCGCTCCCGCTCCTGCGCCAGGGCGGCCAAGTCGCTGGTCACCGCCAGGGTGGGCGCGCCGCATCCTCCGGAGCTCCGCCGTGCTGGCGCGCCCGAAGTCCCTGTCTGCGAGGCTCTGCAACCTCAGGTGCCGCGCAGGGCCCCAGCGGTCGGCAGTGTCACGCCACCCCGCACGGCTCCAGCCAGCGGCGCGTGCGGCGGCCCGCAGCATGGGGGCATCCGACCCTGCGTCGCGGCAGGCGAGCCCATGCAGGCGGTGCTCGCAGAGGATGGCCAGCTCCCGAGCAGGGTTCCGCACCGGCGCCAGCACTGAGCAGCCGCCGCGCCGCCGCCAGCTCTTCCGACGTGTGCTTCAGCTTCACCCGTGCGGAGAGCTGGGCGCGGTGGCGCTGCCAGCGCCGCCACGCCGCGCGCCCGGTCCAGGCGCCGCGGGCCGCCGTCGCATCGGCAACCGCCGGCACCGCCGCAGCCATTTCGCAAGCCGGACCCCGACCAAGGCATGCGTGGTCTTGAGCCAAAATGGCTACGGACACACACACACACACACACACAAGCACGCGGCCCCGCTCGAATCCTTAGATAAGCCGCTGGCGGCGATGGCGCAGGCATGGGGCATGATAAAGGTGGAGGCAACAGACGGAGGGATGGCCTGCTGGCGGGGTTGCGAATCGAAGCGGCACGGTCTGGCCTTGTAGGCCTTCCGCCACTCGAGGTCTACAATCTGCTGGTCGTACTGCAGCCGGATCAGCTGCTGAGACATGTCCGCGCACGCCTGTCGGCTGCACGACAATCGGCGCTGGACCCCACCCCTGGCGCGCGAAGCGCGCCAGGCAGGGGCGGCGCTGGAGGCGCCAGCAAGGCGTGGCCCAGCGCCGACCCACGAAGTCCGCGAGGACTTCCGGAAGCGTACCCATCGGTCGGAAGAGGTAGGCAGAAGCATGAAGCAGGCAGGCATTGAAAACAGATTGGGTAATCCGCCCGCCCCCTAAAGAGGACGGAAGAGGTGAAGCCAAAAGATCACTGGAGTAGGAAGGCGCTGAAAGCAGATTGAAGCCTGGGGCTCCAAAAATACCTACTTTCAACGACCGATGGGTATGTTGAAATGTCTTCGCTTCGCCTTTCGAGAAGAAAGCCGCAGACCCCCGAGGCCGCGTTCATTTGGCAACGTGGGCCCCTGCAGGTCTCGACTCCTTCCCTGGGACCGGCTTCTCATCCTGGTTTATTTCTTGACGGCCACATGGCCCAGGAAGGGCCCCCCGGAGCCGAGAACAGCCAAAAAGCCTTCCGCTACGATTTTTGACTACGCGAGGAAGGATGGCTTCCGAGCCATAGCTCAAATGTCGAGTGACCGTTCGGGACGAGTCGGGCACCCCTGGAATGTTGTCGGCGGGGCGCAGATGCTGAAGGCATCCCGAGGGCTGGAAAGCCCCCTGGGGCTTCCGAAAGCGCCCGACAAGCACGGGGAGGGGGCAGGGGTGGGGTGGTGTGAGGGGCGCGGCGTCCTAGGAGGCGTTTTGCCCAGATGGCCGGGGAATCCATCCGTGGCGACGACGAGCCTCGCGGAGGCCCCACAGGGATGGAAAAACGCACCAGAGCCCCGAAGTGGGAGGGGAGCTGGGGCAAGGGGCGCGAGGGGGGGAGCATGTGTCGCCGCGCCATTTGTTCTCGACGCGCCAAAGTGGACGACGCCGACACCACGGCAAACCCATGGCAAACCCTGCGCCCCGCGCCACAAGTGGACGAAGCTGGCACCGCGGCAAGCCCTGCCTCTGAAGCGGAGTTTGCCCTGGTGGCCAAGGCGTCATCCCCAAGACGTAGGGCCGCACGTCGGAACAAACGGCGCCGCGACATGCAAGGCACCCCAGGCAGCCGTTCCTGGACATATCTCGGGTCCTCGGACTCCGACGGGTCGCTCCGGACGTCCACCACGCTGTACGCGTACTTCTCTTTGCCGAACATTTTCGGCAGGGGCCAATTGACCTGAAGGAAAAACAGCATCACAATGCCCATGTTGCTCACCATACGCGTCATACGCATCATCACCATCACCACCACCAACAACAATAACAATTCATCACCACCGTCATCATCACCATCATCATAATTCCCGTCCTCCTCCCCCTCCTCTTCCTCCTCCTCCTCCTCCTCCTTCCTCCTCCTCCTCTTCCTCCTCCTCTTCCTCCTCCTCCTCCTCCTCCTCCTCCTCCTCCCCCTCCTCCTCCTCCACTCCTTCTCCTTATAGATAACTCCTCCCTCTCGCACCCCGAGGCCAGTTTTTAGGGTGGGCCGGGCGTTTCGCCTGAGACTGCCTCACCACTTATGACTCTGAAGCTTCAAAAATGGTAACAGCTTCACAGATGGAGGGCGGGTCCCTTTCAAAATGTGGCTCTCGCCCGAGCGCCGCGCACATTCGCTTTAAGAATTGCAAGAGCTTCACAGATTGAGGGCGGGTCGTTTTCAAAATGTGGCCCTCGCCTTAGCGCCGCGCACATTCGTTTTTAAAAACTGTAAGGGCTTCACGGATGGAGGGCGGGTTGTTTTTAAAATGCGGCTCTCGATTTAGCGCCGCGCACATTCGATTTGAAAAATTTACCAGAGCTTCACGGATTGAGGGCGGGTGGTTTACAAAACGTGGCTCTCGCCTTAGCGCCGCGCACATTCGTTGTTGAATTTACAAGGGCTTCACGGATTGAGGGCGGCTCCTTTTCAAAATGTGGCTCTCGCTTGAGCTCAAAATCTGCACGAGTTTCACGGATTCCCATGATCAACGTACCCGAAATGGTGTTTCGGAAGGATTCGGGATTACGCGGGTGCAACAGTTATGTTGGCTCGCGGTGTCGAAGTCCCAGAAATGGCCTTCTGGCACGACTCCAGATCGTCGAGACGCAGCAGTCAGGTTGATACGTGGCGTTGAAATCCCGAGCACAATGTTTCGGCATGCTTCAGGATCTGCAGACGGTTGTCTTCCAACGAGGCAGTTCCATCAACGGAAATGAACCGTTGTGGGGGCCTCTGAAGTGGGAGCTTGGAGGGAGGATTAATTCCAACATCGTTGATGACTCTTGATCTTGGTTTTACACTGGTCCTCCTCCTCCTCCTCCTCACCCTCCTCCTCCTCTTCCCCTCCTCCTCCTCTTGCTCCTCCTCCTCATCATCATTTTCCTTCTCCTCCTCCTCCCCCTCCTGTTCCTCTCCTTCTTCTTATTGTTACTAGTATTAGTATTAGCAATCATATGTTTAGTCGTAGTATGTTCCTTCTTCTTAGTCTTATGTGTATTCCCCTTCTTATGAAGGTTCTTAGTAGTTGCCTTATTACTCGTATTCTTTTTCGTACTATAATTATTAGTATGATGAGTCTGCGCTTGTATTATTAGTATTAGTAGTATTACTGGGTTTGGCAGTCGTAGTAGTCGTAGTCGTAGTAGTAGTAGTAGTAGTAGTAGTAGTAGTAGTAGTAGTAGTAGTAGTAGTACGACTATTAAAACATAGTAGCCGCAGTCGCCTTATCACTTTCACTGTGTTTCATATTCAGACTGGCCTCCCTGAAAGATTCGTAATAGTAGCATGTTTCTTCATACTCGTATTCTTGTTATTCATACGATTCGTCTTCGTAGTATTATTCGTGTTCGTCATATCATCAGTATTACGTTTAACAGTTGTATCCATGTTCGTCACATTCTTATCGTTTTTATTACCATTCTAATATTACTTAATATTAGAATGCTTCGCCATATTACCAGTATGAATATGATGTGTCATATCACCGTTACCAGTATTAGTACCATATTATGAGTAAGTGTTAATAGCAGTAGTAGTTGTAGTCGTATTAGTGCGGTTGAAATATAAGTAATAATATTGGCATCCGCATTCTCATTAACATTGACATTGTCGCTGGCACCAGTAACATTAGAAATACTGTTTCGTTTTCGCCATTGTTACCAGCATCATTAGCATTCGAACTACCAAGTAATAGCATTGGTACTAGCACCATGGTGAATTGAAGTGATATCACCATTACTCGTATATTGCCATTGCTACTGGTATTCAATTTCTTCTCCCGGTTGTGCTTATGTTTCTTCTCAGACGTCTTACCCGTCGGGTTACTAGTATTCTTATTACTGGTAATATGGTTGCCTTTCTGAAAACTAGTATTAGTCTTCTCGTCTGCGTATTCGTACCCCCTTCGTCTAATCAGTATAACTGTTCGTCTTCTTTCCCGAGGCATCATTATTATTATTCGGCATAGCTTCTTCTGGTTCGTATCCGTATTCTTAGCATGAGCAATCGTAATAGTATTATCATTTGCGTTACTATGCTGAATATTATTAGTATTACTGATACGGGTCTGCATTATATACATACCGTCCTCTCTAGTCGCCTTATTAGCACGCCTCATAATAGTTGTTGTGCTTCCTCCTCCTCCGCCTCCTCCTCATCATCTTCATCCTCCTCCTTCTCCTCCTCCTCCTCATCCTCCTCCTCCTCCTCCCCGTTCCTCCTCCCCCTCTTCCTCCCCCTCCTCCCCCTCTTCCTCCTCATCTTCCTCCTCCTCCGCCCCCCCCCCCCGCCTCCTCCTCCTCCGCCTCCTCTTCCTCCTCCTCCTCCTCCGATTCATCCGCCTCCCCCTCCTCATCCACCAACTTTGAGCTGGATAGGATGACAAAGCTCTGTCGACCCGGTCGTTCATTCGACGCATCGTGATGTTCCAGTCTTCGTCGTCAAGCCGCACCCAGCCCACAATCAAGCGCAGCATGCGTCGTCGCAGAACGTCCAGCTGTTCCTTCTGGCGCATCGTCAGGGCAAGCGTTGACAGACCGAACGGCACCGTAGGCGCTACGACTGAATCGAAGAGCTTTAGGCGTCGACGGATGAAAATCTGCCCGTCGGTAAGACTGCTCCGCCGCCGTGGAACTTGCCACAGGCGGCCTGGAATCGGTGCGACAATTCAACGCCAGCGCGTTGACGCAAGGACTTCGGCATTTTCCTTCCCAAATATAAATGAGCATCGCTGCCGAACAGAACTTCGACCATCTCGACATAAATAACCGATCGACACAAATAACCGATCGAACCAAGCCGACCGAACGCAACCGACTGTGGCGCGACTGAACCGACCGAACCGTGAACACCCTTGACTCCCCTTCCCTTCCCTTTTCTGTTCCTCCTCCGCAGCGTTGAATCAACAGCTGGTCGGCAGCAGGCGGGACGCTCGAGCTGCGGTCAGAGAGCAGCGGCGGTCCAAGGCGGGGGGCGGGCAAAAGCGAGCAGCACAGGAGCCAGAGAGGCGGCATGGTAAACCAGTATTCTGCAGGAGTGCGCGCAAGAGAAATGGACAGGAGCAAGGCGAAATACGAAATGTTCTTCTCTCCCGCCCCCCACACGCCCCAACCCGCCCACACTCCTCCCGCACTCCTCCCGCACATCCCCCGCCTCTGGAGGTCCCCAAAGAGCACTGGAGGCCTCCAGAAGCCTCTGGAAGC